TTAAGACAAGGTCTTGGGTAGACCAACTGGTGTAAAACTACTATGAAGCCCAACAAAAAACCTGAACTCAATGAGCCCAAGTGCTGAGATTACAGGTGGGGGCCCCCTCACTCTGGGCGCTACCACCTCTTTTTAAAGGGATGGTTCCAGGTATCCTTGCATACCATTTATTTTAACATCTACTATAAAAACTAGAGACATGTCAAACAATGATTTAAAGTTAACAAAGTAGTTCTGTTACCCTCATTTTACAAAAAGGAACCTCAGTCTCAGAGAAATTAAAACCTGTCCAATGAAGTGAAATCATTTGCTCCTGGGAACAGCGAGTTCTTCCCCTGTGCCACACACCCTGCTACAGGTGTAGTCCTTAGGTCAGTGCTACTCAAACTTTCCACCTTCTGTGTTTTTAGTCTCTTAGAAGACTTTGAAAAATGCTGTTTGGGAATCACAAAATGTTTTAATTATGTATTTTGTGTCTGTTGAAATTTGTCCTATTAGAAACTAAAACTGAGTTTAAAAATACTTATCTGTTTATTTAAAAGCATTAATATACTCATTATGCACTAACATAAATCAATTTCCTGAAAAAGAACTTTATTTTCCAAGCAATAAAAACAGTAAGAGAGAAAAGTAGCACCATTTCACATTACTAAAAATCTTGTGCTGACAGAGAACGCAGCTGAGCTTACATCTGCCTCTGCATTTCTTCTTTCAATATGCTCTTTCCAATATTCCAAGGGTAAGAAAAAAAAATCTAACAGAGACCATGGAAAGAAAAGATATTTTGCTTAATACCTTTTATATACTTTTATAAAAATATGTGCATATTTTTCTTTGATAGTATATAAATTCAAGGAGTGGTTGTTTTGTGTTTCTGTACATGTGTCTGTTCGCACATCCACATATATGTGTACATGTGGATATATTCCTCCATCAATATTTGAAGTTGATGTTGCAATGTCTTCCTCTACTACTGTTTCTTATTTTTTGAGACAGGGTTTCTAGATGAACCTAGAGCTCAATATTCTAATGAGCTTTGGGAATCTGTCTATCTTTGGCCCCCTAGCACTCAGGTTACAGGAGGTGGGCTACAACATCCATCTTTCTACATGAGTTCTAGGATCCAAACTCTGGTATGCTGTGGATATCGCTCTATATGCTGTGAATGTGTTGCTCTGATTTGGTTGATAAATAAAACGCTGATTGGCCAGTAGCCAGGCAGGAAGTATAGTATAGGCCGAACAAGCAGAGAGGAGAATTCTGATAAGTGGAAGGCTGAGTCAGGAGACACTGCCAGCCACCGCTGCCATGAGAAATAAGATGTAAAGCTACGGGTAAGCCACAAGCCACGTGGCAAAGTATAGATTTATAGAAATGAGTTAATTTAAGATGTAAGATCTAGCTAGCAAGAAGCTTGAGCCATTAGGCCAAACAGTTTTAATTAATACAAGCATCTGTGTGTTTGTTTGGGTCTGAGTGGCTGCAGGCCAGGGCAGGACTGGAGAAAACTCCAGCTACACTGGTATTCATATTTGTGTAGCAAGTACTTTATCTACTGAGCAATCTCTCCAGCCCCAAATGATAATTTCTTAAAAGTTAAATTGTACTGGAAATCTGAAACTACATCAAGATGTTTACTTTTACTCTGTTTCATACAAATTAATGTATCTTGCATTTGAATCATTGCTCATACATGATTTTGTAATATTATGCTTTAGTTAGTCATACAACACCAAAAAAGGGTTTGTTTTTGTTTTTGCTTTTTACAAAAAAGCCACATTTGTGAATATCACCACTGATTCCACTAGAAAAGTCCTTAGGTAGAAAAAGTAGTTAAGGCAATGGTGAGAGACACAGATTTTTACAATTTTAACCTTTGTTTGAAATTTTAAAATGGGCCATTAGCAATAATATTGTCTACTGGTTTCATGGAAATGAGAGGCTCATTCTAACCATTCATGGGAAAAAAAATCTGAAACTTAAGTTGAATGACCATAGTACTTGTCAATTGTTCTTTAAGTAAAAATGGTGGAGGAGGAGTCTAATGTCAGCCTGGGATACTGGAGAGGCTGACTCTCCCCAAAATTAAAAATTTAAGAAATTCAAGGAATTTGGGGATGATAAGGACTTAATTACAGTGGGGCTTAAATGGGTGGATCCATTTGTCAAAACTTTATGAACTGTGTACTAAAAGATGTGATTTCATTGTAGATGAATTATACCTCATTTTGAAAACTCAAACAGAAATTTCTAAGAGCCATAGACTAGCTAACAAAAAATCTATTGCCAGGCATGGGAAACTGCCTTTCAAATTGGAACTAACTTGAAAGCCTCCTCCCTGAGGACTATCCAAAGGGAGAAAAGCAATTAATAGACCCACACAGTTGTAAGGCCTAGAAACCACAACAATGACCAGCATAGCAAGATATACAAAAAGGGTGCAATAGTGGCATGTGTATCTTGGGGGTAACCAATAGCCATCCCATTTGACTAAGGTCTATTCAATAGAAAAGAATTCAAACCTGGTACTGAAAACTTAGGCAACTACCCTTGGCTGTGAGGTCATAGACCCAGGAGAACCTACTATTGCCACTCTGCTAAACCAGTATATTACCCAACTGTATTCTAAATACCTATTTTCTTATTTTCACAGGTTCAGTATAGCTCATCAGAGAAGCCTTTTTTTGCTGGAGAAACCATCACAGAAATCCATAACTGGCCAGAATGCAGAGAACAACTGGCCATGGAGTGCCTACTCCCAATTGATACATCTACAACCCAACCCACACCTAAGGCTCGGGGAACACTGCAGAAGAGGGGACAGAAAAACTCCAAGATCCAAAAGTCCAGAACATCAG